ACCACGTCAACTCTCGTACCAGGAATGGCCGAGGCAGATTCCATGCAGTCTCAAATGTTGACATGATAGAGCCCACTAGGCTCGGGAACCTGAACAAGTCAACTGACAGTAGAGAGGCATGACCAAAGAGCCAAAGGTCAACTCCCATACGCACAACTAGGCGAGGACTCGTTCATGCCTTGCCTGTGACTAGAGGAATTTTATTTTTGTTTTTTTTAACATTGCCATCTGTTGGATGTAAGAGCCACACACTGTAATCTCCCCAAGTTCTTCACCGATTGCTTTGAAACTGACACAACATTCCATTCGAATATGGGTATCTTTTCATATACCTACTATATAGATGCCACCCCTGTGACAGGTAAAAAAAAATATTCATTTTTGAAAAAGGGCACCATCTGTTGCACATATCAACATGCTAACTATACTGTCAAATTCCATTTCAATTTTTCAGATTGCATTGATATAATTAAATCTATCTTTGAAAATTTTAAGTTTTGTGACATTGTGGAGATAGAGCTGTTTACCATACCATTCATTTTGTAGGTATAGATGCCACACCTGTTATAGGTAAAACTATGCTTTGAACAAATCCTGTTCTAAGCAGAAACTATGCTTTTCTTGAAAAAGTGCCATCTGTTGAATGTAAGAGAAACACGTGGTATACTAGATGTTACAATTCAATTTAAATAATTGCATTGATAAATTGAATTTTCATAAATTTAGATTATTAATTTTGCTTTATTTTGTGAATTGCATTAGAAATGAGCCGTGTTTACCATACTGTTCATTTCGTGAGTACTTTATTTTTGTTACTTTTCATTTCATTTTTAACTCATATTTTGATGAACATCAGATCACTTGATGTTCCAAGTTTTCTGATCAGGAAAATCACACAATATGGGAAGGCATTAGACGAGGGAGTTGGGAATGGTGGGGATAGCAAGGGGACGGAAGTGAGAGAATGGGGGTAATGGTGGAAGGATGAGGGGATAGGGAAATGGAGAATGGTTGGAAGAGAGGATGAGGGGGGGGAAGACTGGGGGACAGAAGGTTGCTGTGGCTCAGCAACGTACATGCGTTGCCGAGCCACAGCAATGCGTGGCCAGGTTCTGCTAGTTTGTTAAAAAAAAAATTGAAGTTTAAATAGGCTTTTTCTTCCAGAATATAGATTGGAAGTCCAGAACTTCATCCTAGACTTTGAAGGTGTTGATTGTTTGACATTCAGAATCAGGCAAGTGGTAAATATTATTTAAACATGTTTGCATTGTATTAAAAATTTAGTTTTAAACACACTAGCATTATGGCTAAAGATCATGTAAATGATGGCTGCATGTAGATGTGAAGTCAAAATTGCCACAAGTCTGAAGTATCTTTCTCCACTTTAATGTACTCATGACTACTCAAACTATTTGTTTAATACAGAATCTAATTTTTGTGCTTGATTAGCATTAGTGAGAATCTTACACTATTAACATTTTGGTAGATTTTAAAGGAACATTATCCATTGTAAATTTGCAAAGCAACTTGCATAAGCTCAATACAGAATTTAGAAGCCAATTTGGTTAAATGTTTCAGGTTCTAATGAAGATTACAATGGTATCAAAGCAGTGACTGGCTAAAGTGTGGCTGTTCTAATATGCACATCTATGAAGCTGGTAAGTTGACTTGCATGTTGGCTATATAAATTGTACAAATATGGGGGGGGGGGTGGAATCCTAATTATAAATGTTTTTTGAAAATACAATTTTTTGTAGTCTTTTAATTTTTACTTAAGAGATTTCTTCTGTAATTTATAAAATGAAAGATGGGGTGGGGAAGTATCTTATGTTTTAAAAAGGCGAATATTGAATTTTAAATACATTGCTGTGCCCAAAAAATTTAGTAACAATATTTAATGTTCCATTGACAGGTTGTGGAGGGTCCTTCCAACATAACCTCAGGAACTGTGTACAAAGCAATTGCTGAAAGTAACATGGTTGTCAGAATTAGATGGCAAAAGTAAGTTTATTGATGATTAGTTTAATAGTTTTTAAATATTAAAGTAAAAATTATGTAATAAAATTGTGAAGTGGCCTGTAAATGGAGAAAATAAACTAGTTCTAGGCCTTAAAGTGGGTACAATATCAGTTTAGTTGTTGCAGGAATTGCTTTGAATAGGATAAAAAGAATTGTAATTTTAAATAGAATAAAATCTGAAGTAGAGTATTTATAATAAATATTTATAAATTAGTCTGCTTAACTTTCAGTGTTCAGTTAATTGTTTGGCTAAAAGTTTGAAATTTATAGATGAAACAGTGTGATGCATAAAATGAACAAATCTAAAAGGGCTGTGACAATTAGGATGTTGGAGGATTGTTGATGCACCTTAATCGACTGTGCCATGATATGGTAAAAGAATTGCAGCTGGGAGGTCTACTGACCTCATGGCTTGGTTTGAACCCTCATGGATTTGTTCATATAAATGTTTGTAACAGATAATTTCATAATTGAAAGTAAAAAAAGTTAACACAATAAATAACTGGTAACTGTACTTCATCTAATTGTAATATAATTGAAGCTTAAATATGCTTTTTCTTTCAGACTATAGATTAGGAAGTCCAGAACAACATCCTAGAGTTTGAAGGTGGTGTATGCTCGACATTTAGAATTGGGTGAGTGTGGTAGTAATAATAAATTAAAGATTTGCATTATATATTAAATAGTAGTTAAACAATGTAGCATTATGTCTGAAGTATCTTTCTCCACTTAAATGTACTAAAGAAACTTAGCTTGAATAGCCATATCTACCTTTTTAATTGCTTGATTAGCATTAATAAAATTTAAAATTTTAGCCAATTTTAAAGGAACACTACCATTGTGAATTTACAAAGAAACTAGAGTAAAAAGCTGTATTTCTAAGCTAATTTGGTTAAATGTTTCAGGTACTTTACTAGATTACAATGGTATCAAAGCAGCGAGTGGCTGTTCTACTCGGCACATCTATGAAGCTGGTATGTTGAATTACATGTTTTAGCTATATAAATTGTATTACCAATATGGGGATGCAGGGGTGGGGGAATCCTAACTTTCAATTATAATTGAAAATAGATTTCAGTATGCTACTTTTTAAATTGTTACCAAATTGTTACTAAAAGGGATTTTTTCTAGAATTGATAAATGAAAGATGGGGTGGGGGAAGTAGGTAATTAGTGTATTTTGAAAGGCAAATATTTAAGTTTAAACATTGCTGTGGGGAAAATTTTTATTAACCATATTAAATGTTTCATTGACAGGTTGTGGAGGGTGCTTCCAACATAACTTCAGGAACAGTGTACAGAACAATTGGTGGAACTTGTATGCTACAGAAAGTAGCACAGGGGCTGAGCAGACAGCACACTGGAGATGTGATCCTGTGGTCCCAGGTTGAATCCTGGCAAGAAATGGTGGGCCGAGTTTTTCACCCTATGCCCCTGTGAGTTAGTCAGCTGTAATGGGCTGCTTTGTGGGGGGACTAAAGGCCTGAAATTGCCAAGATACTTTTGCCCTCTATCATTCTGACAGTTAAGAGTACTGCTATAATTAGTTTAAAAAGTAGTATTTAAATAGTGAAGTGGCCTGGAAATGGGGGATAAAAACTGTAGTTTTTAGGCTGTAGTAGTTTAGGCCTTGACAAGTGGGTACAATAAAAGTTTAGTCCTTGCAGGAATTGTTTTGAATAGAAAAGAAATTTAAAAATGGTAATGTTACATTTTATTCAATTTAAGAATTGAGGGTATTTAAAAATATTTATTTAAATGGTAATTGGTTTGCTTAACTTTGTTCAGTTACTTGGCTAAAAGTTTTTCCATCTATAAATTGCACACACAATAGTGTGATGCATCAAATGACCAAATCCACAAGGGCTGTGATGAGGGTTCAAATGTCCCATGACATTGTAAAAAAATTGCAACAGGGAGGTAAATTGACCTCATGGATTTGTTCATAATTAAAAGTTAAAAAAAAATAATGGTACAAGAGACAAATTAAATATTGACTAGTAACTGTATTTCATATTTTTTTAATGTAACTAGTTTAAATAGGCTATTTCTTTCAGAATAAGAATTGGGAAGTCCAGCTGTTCATCCTAGAGTTTGAAGGTGTTGATTGCTTGACATTAGGAATGGGGTGAGTGTTGGTGAATATTTTAAACAGAAAAATAAGTAAGGCATCAGTGGTTGCATGTAGATAATGTAAAGTAAAAATTCTTTCTCTATTTAAGTTTAACAAGTACTTTATAGTGTGAGTAGCCATATCTAAGTCTTGTGCTTGATTAGCATTAGTGAGAATAAAATGTTAAGGCACATTAGCCATTTGAGTTTGCAAAGCAACTTTTAATACAAAATTTATAAGCTAATTTGGTTAAATGTTTCAGGTGGTAATGATGGTATCAAGGAATTGACTGGCTTAAGTGTGGCTGTTCTACTCTGCACATCCAATAAACTGGTATGTTGAATTAAATGTTTTAGCTATATCAAATAATTAACTTGCTTTCTTTTTTATCTAGTCCATTTATAGATGTGTACCAAAGTCCTACTGTTACCACCTGCTGGGATTGATGCAGTTTGTACTGATCCTACCCCATTTCATAGAAGGGGACCAGGCAGTCCTGCAGATTTCCCTGGCTTGGCTTTTTCAGAGCCCTGCTCTACTACCCATCCAATAGATGGACTAGATTTGCTTAGGTGTAGGGACCCTTAACAATGTGCAAACATTGTTAATAACTACAGGGCTTGTTCACTGAAAGAGTGGATACATCCAGAGGTTTAGTGCCTGGAACATGATGTACATAGGCTTTACAACAAGCCTAAGTACATCATGTTGAGGGCATGAAACCAAAAGATGTGTTCCACTCTTTCAGCCAACAAGTCCTGCCTCAAAATGCAAGTAAGGGGTAGGCCTTGGTGAGCCAATCTTAAAAGATTGGGACTTAGGGGTTTTGGTAGTAATTTGTATGTGTTAGTGTTAATAAAATGAGTGTCCCTGTTTGATATACTTTATTTTTCTTTTACAGGTGGTTGTTGTCCTTGGTACTCTGGATGTTTTCCTGGCCTTTGAAGTTGTTTGGAGTCTTCAGTTGAAACCTCAACCTGAAACAAAATTGTCAACATTAGTTATATTGTATACTATTTAATAAATCTTTTAATGAAAATACTTTATATACTTTATCCTGAAAGTAGCTATAATTTAATCATGCTTGAAATTAATATTTCAAACAATTATATAAACTTATAGCAAGTTTTTTTTAGATAAACTAATAAACAAATTATAAAGGTATAATACAAAATATATAAAGCTAATATAAACTTAAGTTTGTTAATTACATAAAGCTATAAGTATATATAAACAAGTTATAATAAACTTAGTTTATATTATAACTTAGCTATACTTATTATAACTTTATATAATTAACAAACTTATAAACTTAAAGGTAAAATATATAAAGCTAATAAAAACTTAAGTAACATAAGTTATATATGAAAAGGTATAAAATATAATGTTGCTTAAAGGTAATATTATAAGTGAAAACTAATTTTGACAACTATAAAAATGAGTCTAGTTTGGTATGCAAAGCTTTTAAGTTATCAGGTTAAACTGCAAAAGATAAATTTTAGGCATTATTTTAATAGATTAAATTAACTACATTTGTTTTAAGTGAAATTTGTTAGACTAAAGTTAAAGCTATGGAACATATTGATTAGTGGAAATGATGTAAATTTTTACATCAATGATAAGATTACACTAAATTAGCTAAATTTTTTTTCCCACAAGTGTCTTACTAAATGCCACAACTTGATAGGAAACATTAAAGTGTTTCCTAACAATATTGTCTAATGGTACCAAACCCTTCAATTTTCTACGAGTCTAAGAAGAAAAGAAACAAAACCATTAGACATGTCCAATCTGTTAATATAATGCTGCACTCAAGTGTCCTACTAAATTATTCACACCAGACATCCCATTACCACAAATGTTTCAAACTGCTGAAGATAACTATTTCAAGATAGTTTATATAAACACTATCTGCCTATAACAAGCACCATAAATGGGAAGAGCCTTACAAACTAACATTCAAAAACCTTCAAATACCTGGAATTCAATCCAAGCTATTAAATGAATTGACAGCCAAACTTACTGCCACTTAAACTCGCTAGATAGATTTCAAATGTTACTCAAATTTTGGAAACTGCCAAGCAGAAAACTTTCAAATTACTTTGACCTCACATCTGCAAGGTCCTGAAGGGAAGAAACATTAATAATTCTTGTAAAATCAACAAAACATTGGTTTGTTAAAAACAAACCTGTTCACATTTTTTTTCTGATAACCAGCTATTCAAACACACACACACACTGTGTTTGATAAAGCACCATATCAAAGGCTACGAGTGAAATATGAAGCACATGGAATAAAGGATAAAAAGATTGCTTAATTAAAGCTTCCTCTGAAACACGGCATGAAGCATACCACAAGGGTCTAAACCTTATATACCTCAATGACAAATCAAATTATTACAAACCACACCAAGATTTATGGTACAGAGAACATGAAAAAATGATATCAAGCCTTTACAAAGATCTATGGGAACTCTAAAAATGGTTAAAATACTGGCAAATTCTTATTATTATAAGAATTTGCAATGTATTTAACATTGCAAAACCTTACAGGTGACCCAGAACAATCCATATCACAACTACCACATTAAAATGAAGAAGAACAATGAAATAAAGGACCTTGGAGCTAGATTCCATCATTAACCAAAAGTTGCTCCAGTAAACAATAATTACTAACAAAACCCTACAATTAATCAAGCGACCTTTTGACTTTAACGAAAAGAAGGTAGTTATTCTAATGTCAAAACATTTATACACCAGTTATCTATAATCACTTAGATAATTGTACCCAACCATGAAGAACCCCCACCTTCTTTACAAAAACACATCTACTTTCAAACAACAACACTGCCCAACACAAATATTTCTAAAACTAAGTCGACTAATACTAGGAACAACTGAAGGCCACGACAAACACTGCAACTCTCTCCTACCCCCAAGTCTTATGCTATTAATGATCCATTTTATTTTGACATACTTCCTACAGACGAGACCAGAGACAGGACGATCTAGTGAGTAAACTGAAGCACGATACAGGTGTCAACGGACATCAGTCAGCCCACTTGTCACCACAGTGGATAAACTAATAACATTATAACCTGCAATTTTGTATGACTCCCTGTGGCCATTTAAATTAATAAAACCCAGGGTTGTGCCAATGTTTATAGCATAAGGTAAGGTATACAGGAATGCCTGGTAATGTCTAGTCCTTGTATGTGCTTTAGGCAACCAAACTGAACAACAACATTGCTCGTGTTATACTATTTTATCCAAGTTTCTCATTCGGTACAACCTTTTAAACCCAAATAGGAATGCGCTTTAAAGATCCATTTATTTGGAGATTCTACTTACACAATCTAAATTACCGGTCTCTGAAAGTACTACGACATAAGTTTAACTAGATGAGTGTTTGCCTATCCACACCCACATGAGGTATGTGACAACACTGAATAAAGAAAGGGGCTTTGAGCATTCAGCATGCAACAATTGGACATGACATAACCAATATAGCCAGGTCATACCTACCCCTCCTACCTACCCCCTAACTCCTTCCCCCAATCCCATCACTCCTGCCCTCCCTTCTACCCCCTCACTCCTATCCTCCCTCCTGTCTCCTCAATCCTCCCTCATACCCCCATTATTTTCGCCCTTTCTCCTGCCCCCCTCACTCCTCCCCCCTACCCCCTCCCTCCCTCCTACCCCCTTCCTCCTACCACCTCCCTCCTCACTTCCTGCCCCCTCACTCCTACCCCATCACTCCTGCCCTCCCTTCTACCACCTCACTCCTACCCCATCACTCCTGCCCTCCCTTCTACCACCTCACTCCTACCCCATCACTCCTGCCCTCCCTTCTACCCCCTCACTCCAGCCCTCCCTTCTACCCCTTCACTCCTGCCCTCGCTTCTCCCCCCTTCCTCCTACCCCCTCCCTCCTTCCCCCTCCATCCTGCCCCTCCCTCCTACCCCGTCACTCCCTACCCCCTCATTCCTTCTCCCATTCACTCGTACCCCCCCTCACCATTTCCCCCTCACTACTACCCCCTTACTACTTCTCCCACCTCACTCCTCCTCCCCTTTCACTATTCCTCCCTTTCACTCCTCCTCACCTTCATTCCCCCTTCCCTCTTCACTCCCCTTACCCTACACACTCCCCCTTCCCTTCTCACTCCCCCTTCCCTCCTCACTCTTCCTTCCCCCCCTCACTCTTCCTTCCCCCCCTCACTCTTCCTTCCCCCCCTCACCCTTCCTTTCCCCCCTAACTCTTCCTTCCCCCCTCACTCTTCCTTTCCCCCTCACTCTTCCTTTCCCCCTCACTCTTCCTTTCCCCCTCACTCTTCCTTTCCCCCTCACTCTTCCTTTCCCCCTCACTCTTCATTTCCCCCTCACTCTTCCTTTCCCCCTCACTCTTCCTTTCCCCCTCACTCTTCCTTTCCCCCTCACTCTTCCTTTCCCCCTCACTCTTCCTTTCCCCCTCACTCCTCCTTTCCCCCTTCACTCCTCGTCCCCCCCATCACTCCTCCTCCCCCCCGTCACTCCTCCTCCCCCCCGTCACTCCTCCTCCCCCCCGTCACTCCTCCCCCCCCCGTCACTCCTCCTCCCCCCCATCACTCCTCCTCCCCCCCATCACTCCTCCTCCCCCCCGTCAATCCTCCTTCCCCCCCGTCAATCCTCCTCCCCCCTCACGTCAATCCTCCTCCCCCCCGTCACTCCTTCTCCCCCCCATCACTCCTCCCCCCGTCACTCCTCCTCCTCCCCCCGTCACTCCTCCTTCCCCCCCGTCACTCCTCCCTCCCCCCCCCCCTCACTCCTCCTTCCCCCCTTTTCCCCTCCCTCTTACCCACTCACTCTTGCCCATCCTTCTTCCCACCCTCCTACAGTTCCTACTGCCCCTTCACTTCTCCCTTCTACCCCCTTCACACCTCCCCCTCACTAATCCTTCTCCTCACTCCTCTACCCCTTCACTCCTCTGCCCCTTCACTCCTCTACCCTCCTCACTCCTCTATCCTCCTCACTCCTCTACCCTCCTCACTCCTCTACCCTCCTCATTCCTCTACCCTCCTCACTCCTCTACCCTCCCCACTCCTCTACCCTCCTCACTCCTCTACCCTCCTCACTCCTCTACCCCCTTCACTCCTCTACCCTCCTCACTCCTCTACCCTCCTCACTCCTCTACCCTCCTCACTCCTCTACCCTCCTCACTCCTCTACCCTCCTCACTCCTCTACCCTCCTCACTCCTCTACCCCCTTCACTCCTCTACCCCCTTCACTCCTCTACCCTCCTCACTCCTCTACCCTCCTCACTCCTCTACCCTCCTCACTCCTCTACCCTCCTCACTCCTCTACCCTCCTCACTCCTCTACCCTCCTCACTCCTCTACCCTCCTCACTCCTCTACCCTCCTCACTCCTCTACCCCCTTCACTCCTCTACCCCCTTCACTCCTCTACCCTCCTCACTCCTCTACCCTCCTCACTCCTCTACCCTCCTCACTCCTCTACCCTCCTCACTCCTCTACCCTCCTCACTCCTCTACCCCTTACACACTTAAAAGTGTGTAATTTGTGGAATTTATATAATTCAAAGTATAGAACATCGCTATGCTCAAAATTATGGGCCTCATATATGCGACATATTCTACAATCAAACAGTGTTTTTGCTGTTATTACACTATATACACACATTGTATATACCCATCTACGTATGTATTCACCATAACGATCCACTATGTTGGTATGGTGAGCCCCAAAAACATGAGTGAGCTGCCACACCCTGCCAGTCCTCCCTCCCTCCTCCAACACATTACTCGCTAACATTCCTCCTCCCAAAATACTGTTATTGTGTTTATTACACTATTTACACACGTTATGTATAAGTATGTACATGTTTTATTCATGTACATACGTACATACTTGCCATCTCCTCACCTCTCTCTCTTGCCTACTTAATGCTCTTGCTTCCCTCATCTCATCACAATCGACTTTATAATGGTCCAGGACGGATCGAAATGTCGTCGTCTATTCAATTTCCAGTGTGTGGTTTGGTCAACAATGAAATCTTCATGCAAGATCTTATAAAGAAAACCCCTAGAATGAGTTTTGCAGATACGAAAGAGTTTAAGGTGAGTAGGGGATGGTTTGAGAAATTTTGAAAAAAGACGTGGTATTCATAGTGTTGTGAGGCATGGTGAGGGTGCCAGCTCAGACAAAGTAGGGGCTGAAAGATTTGTTCGTGATTTTAAAGATTTTGTAGATACTGTATTGATGGATATATTCCACAACAAGTGTTTAATTGTGAGGAGACATGACTATTCTGGAAAAAATTGCCGAAGAGGACATACATTACCCAAGAGGAGACGTCACTGCCCGGACACAAGCTAACTTGGGCTAACTTGTGTCAGGATAGGCTAACTCTTGTGCTGTGTGGCGATTTGAAAATTAAACCCTTGCTCGTGTATCATTCCGAAAATCCAAGAGTTTAAAAAAATATATAATGTTCAGAAAAACTGTGATGTAGAGTGGTTTGCCCTGCCATCAAAAAATATCTGCAAGAGAAAAGTTTGACACTAAAGGGCCTGCTCCTCGACAATGCTCCTGCTCATCCTCCAGACTTGGAGGATGCATTGTTGGGGCCACTTTTTTTTTTTTAGGGATATTCCTGCATGGGCCCTAAGTTTCTGGCTAATGAACCAATGACATGAAGGAGGAGTTTTCAACCTACCTTGTGTTAGGTGTGCAGGGGTCAATAGGCTGAACATAATGTCAGGAGCAAAGGGGGGCATTTGCCTCTTCAAACACAATTGTGACCATCTTCATCTCTTCGAACTATCCTAAATGCTCTCTTCACCTGTCTGACCAAATTGGGTGTCCAGACCACCTTTGAATCTGAAATTGTAAAATTAATAGTGATTTCAGAATATTCAGTCCATTTATACTAACAAAATTTTATACAGTATACTGTACTGTAATTGAAATTTTACAGAATGATAAAGGCAATTTAGTAACTTTGTTAAAATGCACATGGGGGAAATACATGAAAATAGGTTAATATGGTTTGTAAGGTTGATGGGAAATGTTTATTACTTTTATGATTTAAAAGATGTATAGCCCTGATACTCCATCCTGGGTGCATTCCACCAGGTAATGACCACAGCAAAAGTTTTCCACGAGGCTCTATTGTCACACAAACTTTCACATTTTCAAACTTGATTCATCTTTTTCCCCCTCGTTCCAGGGGTTTTCTTTAAAAGGTCTTCATGCATTAATGCCTTGGTTTCTCACAAATGATGGCCTCTGAAATGCTATCACCTGCTAACTCTTTGTTGTGTATCCAAATTAATAAAAACTTTTCAACATCCTCAAGTGTTTGTGTTCTTTGTTTCGGGATTGTTGATATGCCTTTTGCCACTTTAACGCTCATAATGTCCTTTTTCTTAGCAAGTATAGTGCATATTGTTGACATAGATTTGTTGTACTGCCTAGCTAGTTCAACAATCTGTGCACCGTTTTGACGTTTATGAATGCTCTCTTGTTTTTCCTCTATGGTCATTCTCACATGTGTTTTCTTGGCTTGAACCTTACCACTGGCTTTCTTGGGACTCATGGCAAGATATATAATAACAAATTTTATGTTCAAATAGCCAAAAATCCCAAAACAAATGTAATGCTTTATAAAGAATTCAGGCGCGATAGTTACTAGGCAGGAGACACTGGTAAACTGAAGTGCGATCACCATGCCACCACGCGCTAGGTCAGCCCATACGCATATCAACAAACTCATTTCCCAAGGCAAAGTTTGTAACCCGATTCAAATTTTTCGAAGAAATTAGGCTCGTAACCCGAAAAGTTCATAAATATTCATTCGTAAGCCGAGGTGACACTATATATAAGTAAAAAATTAAAATTTTGTAGATACACTGTGCTGTATTGATGGATAGATTCCACAACAAGTGTTTAATTGTGAGGAGACATAGCTATTCTGGAAAAAATTGCCGAAGAGGACATACATTACCCAAGAGGAGACGTCACTGCCCGGACACAAGCTAACTTGGGCTAACTTGTGTTAGGATAGGCTAACTCTTGTGCTGTGTGGCGATTTGAAAATTAAACCCTTGCTCGTGTATCATTCCGAAAATACAAGAGTTTAAAAAAATATATAACGTGCAGAAAAACTGTGATGTGGAGTGGTTTGCCCTGCCATCAAAAAATATCTGCAAGAGAAAAGTTTGACACTCAAGGTCCTGCTTCTCGACAATGCTCCTGCTCATCCTCCAGACTTGGAGGATGCATTGTTGGGGCCACTTTTTTTTTTTTTTTTAGGGATATTCCTACATGAGCCCTGAGTTTCTGGCTAATGTACCAATGACATGAAGGAGAATTTTCAACCTACCTTGTGTTAGGTGTGCAGAGGTCAATGGTTGAACATAATGTCAGGAGCAAAGGGGGGCATTTGCCTCTTCGAACACAATTGCGACCATCTTCATCTCTTCGAACTATCCTAAATGCTCTCTTCACCTGTCTGACCAAATTGGGTGTCCAGACCACCTTTGAATCTGAAATTGTAAAATTAATAGCAATTTCAGAATATTCAGTCCATTTATACTAACAAAATTATACATACAGTACTGTAATTGAAATTTTACAGAATGATAAAGGCAATTTAGCAACTTTGTTAAAATGCACATGGGGAAAATACATGAAAATAGGTTAATATTGTTTGTAAGGTTGATGGGAAATGTTTATTACTTTTATGATTTAAAAGATGTATAGCCCTGATACTCCATCCTGGGTGCATTCCACCAGGTAATGACCACAGCAAAAGTTTTCCACGAGGCTCTATTGTCACACAAACTTTTCACATTTTCAAACTTGATTCATCTTCCCCCCCCCCTCGTTCCAGGGGTTTTCTTTAAAAGGTCTTCATGCAAATGCCTTGGTTTCTCACAAATGATGGCCTCTGAAATGCTATCACCTGCTAACTCCTTGTTGTGTATCCAAATTAATAAAAACTTTTTAACATCCTCAAGTGTTTGTGTTCTTTGTTTCGGGATTGTTGATATGCCTTTTGCCACTTTAATGCTCATAATGTCCTTTTTCTTAGCAAGTACAGTGCATATTGTTGACATAGATTTGTTGTACTGCCTAGCTAGTTCAACAACCTGTGCACCATTTTGATGTTTATGAATGCTCTCTTGTTTTTCCTCTATGGTCATTTTCACATGTGTTTTCTTGGCTTGAACCTTACCACTGGCTTTCTTGGGACTCATGGCAAGATATATCATAACAAATTTTATGTTCAAATAGCCAAAAATCCCAAAACAAATGTAATGCTTTACAAAGAATTCAGGCGCGATACTTACTAGGCAGGAGACACTGGTAAACTGAGGCGCGATCACCATGCCACCACGCGCTAGGTCAGCCCATACGTATATCAACAAACTCCTTTCCCGAGGCAAAGTTTGTAACCCGATTCAAATTTTTCGAAGAAATTAGGCTCGTAACCCGAAAAGTTCATAAATATTCATTCGTAAGCCGAGGTGTCACTATATATAACTAAAAAATTAAACTCAGGATTACTTTCAACCCCCACCCCTTTTGCTCTACTCCATCGTCACCTTCCTTTCACCCTCCTCTATGATGTACTTTTCCATAGACACCTACGTTCACTGCATATAATGCTCCCCTCTACTCCTCCATCGTCACCTACTTTCACCCCCCCCCCTCCGCTCTACTCCTCCAGGGTCGCAGACAATTTCACGAGCGTGAGAACTACGAGTTCTCTAACCACTCTCACACTCCTACTCTCTCACCAGTGAGGGGGAGGGAAGGAGGGAGGAAATGAAGGAAGAAAAGTGGGGGAGAGAGAATAGGCAGGGGGAAGGAGGGCCTAGATACATTTCTTCCATATAGATAGGTAGACTGAGGGAGAGCTGCTTGCCAAGAGCCCTATCAGACAGGCTTCCTATTCCTCAACCCTCCCTAATATGCCACATCCTGGTCAGGACAACTTGCTCGATTGTTATTCTTGGTGTGACTCGAGAACTGACCTCGAGGCGGGGCATGGGCATGGATTATCTCCCTGGGGCACGCACCTCCCTGCCCCAGCTCTCTCTCTCTCTCACATAATCTATCAAGGGTCTAACATGAGGTCATTGTGCCTACCAGAAGTGTATATGTCCAAGGCTGGCCACCTATCTGGACCATTCAAATGTATAAACACGTAATTAGTCTATTAAAATTATATATAATGCTACAATTATAAATTAATTTGTTCATGGTCATTCGTTTATCAGTATTTTAATATGAGGTATATATACGCATGTATGTATACGTTGACGTACACATATATGATTATGTGTATGGAATGATTATGATTATGTGTAATCATATATGATAATATCTAATGGAATGCATTAGTAAGTGATGTGGTGGAGGCTGACTCCATACACAGGTTCAAGTGTAGATATGATAGAGCCCAATAGGCTCAGAAACCTGTACACCTGTTGATTGACGGTTGAGAGGTGGAACTAAAGAGCCAGAGCTCAACCCCAGCAAGCACAATTAGACGAGTATATGAACGAATGCACATGTACACTTTCAAATGAATTAAGATACCTTGAGATACACAATGACTTAGTTTAAATAGTTTAAAACACATGGTACTGATTTTGACATGCTGATGTCTGGAAGGGAGAGGGGGTGTGGGGGGGTTATTGTCTGAGGTGGAGGACCAGAGGAGGGGGTCAGTGGAAGGATGGTGGCTGGAGGGATGCCATTGTTCTAATGGTTATGAAAACAATTATTGATGGCAGGAATTCAGTGGGTGTGTACTTCACCCGCACCATCGCCATACTGTGCCCTGCTACAACCCCCCCCCCCCCACTCCACCCATGCTGTGCTACACATCATGGGATAACCGACTGTCTGTCCATTCCTGTCTGCTCGTTATGCTGCCCTTCCTTTTGAAAATTGTCTGCTTTATCGACTTCCTTCAAGACCACACGTTAGCCTCTTATCACGCCCTCTTACCACTCTCAGGGGGTCCATAGAATTACCCAAATCGACCCAAATCGGCCCAAAACTACCCAAATCGTCCTAGCATTACGTAAGTAATGAAGAAATATGGTATATTTACTTACTATAATGTTGGTGCTACACGTAGAACATGATCAAACCTATTTTTACTCTGAAATAATCTAATTTCATAACGAAATGAGACGTAAATATGTGAGAGGTGACGCCATAGGAAGTCGACGGTCCAAGCGACAATTGTGTGGAGCGACTTATCCAAGATATATGGTCGCCTGGAGAGTGTTTGCTGCCATATCAGCCTCCTGTACACAGTGATCCAGTCGTCGTATTTCATGGCTCAAATTGTCGCAAATTTAATTGGTAATATTAACAAGTAGAATGTGTATTTATAATAATAATTTTCATAAACAGCCACAAAATATTTAATATTTATTAAAAATAAGTGTCTGGAAGTTAAATCAATTCCACATGACAATAAATTTGTTATATAGATACTAGCGTTATTCGTTGGTATGCGTTCGCTATTTAAACTACTCCAGTCCTTTTCGTTCATAGAACACCGAACCCTACACGCTCTCTGATATATTGCTTAATTAACAAATATTCACAAATAAAGATTATATTTATATATGTTATCAGAAAGGCAGATATAAAATAGTTTGTGTTAATGCATCACAGAGATTATACCTTATTAGAGAGGAAAAATATTCATATTTTAAACAAGGCTTCTTGGCCGACGCTCTCCCTTTCGA